AAGTCAAATAAATAAAATGAAGCTTCTTGAATTATTTATAAATTATAATATGAATAGATAACAACAAAACATGGCATTAGTTGGCAAGCTTGAATTACACGACAAACATAAAGCAAATCATGACATGAGGCGGCAAGAGGAATTGAGAAGCATCCAGAGCAAGTCTTAGTCGATTTATTACTCCTATATATATGTGAGCAAAGCAAGCATGTGAGTAGTGAGAAAAAGAAAAACATACGATAGAAAAAATAGAGAGAATTGAGAGAGCTTAACAAAGCTTAAAATAGTGAGGTTACGTTTGTAAACTAGCTGCAGCTACTATTGCAGTATTGTAATATTAAGGTAATGTCATTGTAAAGTATTTTGTTTCGTATCAATAAAAAGTTTGAGTTAGAAAAATTACTCGAGTGTCCATTTACGCTTCCAACATAACTTAAGATTACTGTCAGACGAGTCTAACCGGTACTTCTCTAGTTGGGTAGTTGGTGTAGAGATGAATTTGATAATGTACCCGTAGGCGGATGTAGATTTAAAAAAATTACCCAACATGAATAATAGACGGGTGATAGATTTAAAAATATTAAATGGATATTGAGATAAAAGATATCTGCATATAACCCGTTGACACCCTTATCTGAAGGGAAAATTAAAACAGCTAGATGTGAAAAACGATAGTGGTTTTGTTGTTTATTTCAAGTTTTTTAAACCAGGTGCTGTGAACGCCATTTATTACCCACAGTAACACATGAAGCGCCCGAACGGCTATGCCTGCCAACTGCCAAGTGTCTTATCCTTCGCCTTTGATTGGGCCACGTTTCAAGTTCTCACTTCTCTTTTGGACTGTCTCGTCATGTCTGGTCATTTTAATGATTACAAGAAGTCGATAATGCCCCTCCTTTCGCGTACGAAAAGGGGACCATTGCGGAACTTTTTTATTATTTTTCTTATAACGTTAGTTTAATTAGATTTATGTAATGTTTGTTTACTTAAACGTTAAATGATTTAAAAGTTGAATAATTTAGAGGTTTTATATGAATTAGTTTTGAATGTGACATGCTGTTTGATAATGGCTCTGAATCATTCGGAATGTATTTCTGTGCTAAATCATTCAGCACTATTTTGTTGAATCAGTTAACACTGAATCATTCAGAGATGCGAAACAAATTAGTTAAATACTGAACGGTTCAACATTCAACGTTAAATGATTCAATTAAGAGGCAAACAAACAACCCCTTAAATTCAATTTAGTTTTATAATATTATTTTTTTTAATTTAGATTTTGTATGAGTTGAGATTGATCTTATAAAGGTATAATATGAAAACGTTTTACTCCACCTGTTAATTATTAATTATTTTAGTTAAAATTTGAATTATTATTTATAAATATATATAAAAATATTCTAAAAACTTCCAATCGAATAGTTTTTAAACATATATTTTAAAAATATCTTATACATTTTATTTAAAATATTTAAAATAATCATGAACAATGTTTAAAAATTTTAATTTTTAAAAAGTTAATAAGAGATGATTTTAATGAGATGAAGAGAATATTAAATAGTTATTTTAATTCATATTTTTTATAAAATATTTTAATCACAATATTTTTATTTTAGAGGATAAAGTCTCTTAATATTTAATTAAATAGTCACTTTAACTCTTTTTTTATTTTTTCTAGAGCATATTAACTCCCATAAATTTCATTCTAGAGCAAAAAGATATTAATTTTGTAACATTGATAATTTATTAACTAATAATTTTTATTCACAAATGAATTTTTTATCTTAAACTAAAGTGTTAGTAAAAAATAGTAATCAAAGTTTATAGCATTTTTGATATTATATATTTTCGTAAAATAAATTTAAAATAGAATTTAAAATAACTTTTTACCTCAACTCGAATAATTACTATGATATTATATATATGTTCAAAAAATATTACTATAATTATTTAAAAAATTATTTTTATAACACTTCTATATAAATTTAATCATCTTTCTATTTTATTCAATAAAACAATTTATTATATTAAAATTTGAAATAATTAGAAACAAATAAAATATTATCAAATGTTCAAATTGGCAAAACTTTCGAGATAATGTTCTCGAATTTTTTATTTAACGATATAACGTACTCTCAAGATTAATTGCTCAAATAGAGCGAATTGCACAGTGTTGGTCGTAAGTTACCATGCCTTCCGGGCGACCTACGGCGTGGCAGCTTCCCAGCATAGGTCGCCATTCCCTCCGGGCGTCCTTGTAGGTCGCCATACACGCCAGACGACATGGTAGGTCGCCATGCACGCTGGGCGACCTTGTCCTGCGCCTGCTCCCCGCTGCATGCTCGCCTGCTCCCCACTGCATGCAGGCGACCTCTTCCGACGTGCATGGCGCATGCAAAGCTTCATCCTCTCGCCATAGCTCGTAGCAAAGCTTCATCCTCTCGCCACAGCTCGTATAGAACACTTTTGTCGTGATTTCATTGCTGCATGCATGAAGGAGACAGGGGTGAGGGAGGCAGAGCCACCTTTGTCGTGATTTCAGCAGAATCACAGAGGAGTTCGAGCTGCTTGCATGGCGACCTACAAGGTCGCACCGAGTATATGGCAACCTATGATCTCGTTTGGCTTGCATGGCGACCAATCCATGCACTGTATAATTCACATCATTTGAATAATTATTTATTGGACAGCATTATCACGTGAATTATTTTTTTTTCACAGTAATATCTCGTGAGTTTTGCCTGTTCAAATTGATCAAAATCTAATAAAAATGTTTAATTTTCAAATAAAAAACGGAAAAAAAGTAGGCAGAAGAAAGGTCGGAGATGCTGTTAGTGTACAACTCAGCTGTTAAAAAGCAACAACAAGTACACGCCAGCTAAGATGCCGAACCCACGGAGTTCGTTACTTTATGTTTTTGACCGTTTAACATCCATGATTAAGTTCAATAGATGGTCGGATTTAATTTAAACAAGTTTCGTTCTGTACTTGAGTACACGTGATTATGCCATTTTCCAGACACTTTCTGTTCTCTGACCGAAACAAGAAAGCCCTTCATATTATCTGAGGGTAATGGGGGAGGAAAAAAGAGACAAAAATGGAAGGTTCCTTATAAACGCGCCAAGGAAAAAAGCGCGTTTTGGCCGCCGAGCAAGGCGTTTGGCTGAAACACCTAACGAGTAAACAACCACCTCTTTTCCTTTTAATTAATCTTTTAAATTACATTTTATTTAATTATTAAGAGGAAAAGCATTAATATTTGGGTATAAAATATATAAATTATCCACTTGCTGTTCTTTTCAGCTTTTCTAAGCCTTTCCTTTTCTTCCCCATCTCTCTCTCATTTATTGTTTCTGTTACTTTGCCGGAAAACCGCCTCCCTCCTCCGCCAAACAACAATTTCTCCGGCGAAGGAAGTATTGTTCGACGGGAAGCCAACTGTCTAGTTTCGATAGTTTTATGTACTTCTTTAGCGTTTCTTTTCGTGACTCAGATTTGGATCTCCGAGTTTGACCAGGTCCGTTTGATTCCGCGGCTCGCTGTGAGAATGTGGCGAGTTTGGTTGACGTTTGACGTTCTGTTTTGATAGCAAATGCTGAAGACCGTGACCTAGTTTCTATTTTTTTTGCTGATTTTGCGTTTTTCCCATTGGATCGTTTGTTTCGGTAATTCGCAGCAGAACGGTGGCGCGCAAAGAACAATTTCCGTATGTGATGGTCCGCTAATTCTTCTGTTGAGTTCTTTTTATTTTATATTTTTATGAAAATTTCCGCGGTTCTATTTTTTTTTGTCTTTGTTGACATTGTTTTAATTTTGAAACCGTTTCTTAGTTTTCTGGTTTCCTACATTTGTTCTACATCTTTTGAAAAAAATGCAGAAATTAGAATTTGAAATATAGAAAAGTTAATCCTATCAATAAAAGTTTCATGCAATAACCACCATGAATCATGCATTTTGGACCGGACCGATTTTCCTTAGTTTCTTCTTCTTTTTTATCTGTTATATCAGAATTAATTTCTGTGGAGAATCAGAATGATGGATGCTTTGTTTTCCTAATAATATGATATTCACATGTGTATCTGTTACCTAAAAGGAGTTGATCCGGTAATACCGTGTATTATTGTTTAAATTGTCTAGTTTTTATATTGGCTTTCTGAATTGCTCGAATTTTGACTTTATATTTGTGGCATATGTTATGTACGATGATTTCAATTGGTCATTAACCTTTGAAGCACGATTTTAGTGGGAGAAATTGGCTGTAAAATTTAATCTATAATCGGGCCTTTTGAATAGATTCAGCCAAGCTTCAAACTTCTTATGCCTTAGAAATTATCTTGGTTCAGATTGGCATGGGCGTTTTGCTTTCACGTTCTCAGTTTTAGGTACAAATGGTTATGCATGTTAGTAAATTTATTCTTTTTAGTTATTATTTCTGAATGAATTTTCTTCCAATTTTCGGTTAACATATCTGTAGGTACTCTTTCATTAACATTTATTGAGCTGTAGTTGTTTACGCGTGGACTGGATTGCGCTTTTGCACCTTAATATTGTTCCCTGACTTTATTGCTCTGAAATCCAAAGATCTCTGTTTGTGTGACCACAATAGTTCTCCGCTTATTTCTGGCAAGAGAATGGCGCAAACTAAATACTGGAAGTATGGGACAAATTTGTCTTTTTAAAAGCTCTTTTGTAATCTATGCTTTTCATTAGTCAAGCTGATCGTAGTTAAACTTCTGCAGAGTCTGAACTAATATCACTAATTGTATACTTTGTAAATTAATGGTATTTGTTGTGTGCATGTAGTGTGTTATAAATATTATAGCTGCATGGAAGTGCATGTAGGTCACTTGGCTGTCAATTAGGCGCTAATACAATTGAAAAGTGTAATTTAACTTTCTATATGAACATTGAGGCTAATTTCGAATTGTTACTACTTACTATGTGTTTCTCAAATATGCTTCTATAAACTGATAAATAGTTTTTCCAAACGTGTTTATTTGTTTATTATTTATAGGTGGAATGAAGTGTGCGTTGTCCAAGGAGGTAAAATATGGGTTAGAGTTATTGAAGCATAAAAGACTTCAACGAATAAAATCAGAATATACCTCTGGGGTTTCTGATGTCATAAATATGATGGCTAGAAGTGGAGGAGACGCTTTGAGAGTTTCAGCATCATGTGGAGTGAGGTTGCAAGGGAATGCAGAGTCATTTTCTAGGTCAAATGGCGTTTCATGTGAGAAGGATGTCTTTTCTAAGCACAAGGTTGATAAGTTTGACACTTGTGATCTAGGATGGACTGAGAAAATTCCAGATTGTCCTGTGTACTGCCCTACAAAGGAAGAGTTTGAAGATCCTTTGGTCTATTTGCAAAAGATAGCTTCCGAGGCTTCGAGATATGGTAACACCTTCTGTGCTTTTAATTCTCTATCTTAACTATTTGAATATCCTCCCTCTTTCTACCCGTGGGTGAAGTTATATGAATGTTACAAAATCCAAGTAGAGAAGGGATATAAATGTTTGGATTTTGAAAGAAATTTTGTAAAAATTTCCTCTTTACATTTTTAATAATAAATACTGAAACATTATGTGTATATGCTCCTCAGGTATATGCAAGATTGTTTCCCCTGTGGTTTCTACTGTTCCGGCTGGAGTTGTATTGATGAGGGAGAAAGTAGGATTCAAGTTCACAACTAGAGTACAGCCATTTCGTCTTGCTGAGTGGGATACTGATGATAGAATCACCTTTTTCATGAGTGGAATGTGAGCTCACTCTCTTGAAACAGATGATATTTTTGTGCCTGCAGTATTTTTCTTTCTTTCTGGTTTTGAATGTTAGCGTGACTTTTCAGAAATTATACATTTCGTGATTTTGAGAGAATGGCGAACAAGGTGTTTACTCGTAGATATTATAGCGCTGGTTGTCTTTCTGCAACTTACTTGGAAAAAGAATTTTGGCATGAAATTGCCTATGGGAAGACAGAAAATGTTGAATATGCTTGTGATGTTGAGGGTAGTGCCTTTTCTTCTTCTCCCAGTGATCCACTTGGAAGTAGCAAATGGAATTTAGAGGTGTTGATTTCAGTACCATCATATCTTCACTTTTGTTTCTTAATGCCTCTTGTGGGACTTTGTTTTACTTAATTTTACCAAAGATAGTAAAGTTAAGAAAAGAAAACTGCAATAGCTATAATTTTGCATAGCTGATTGATCTCCTTCTTGAGTCATTTTATTGTATATTCATGTATTTTATTCTTTTTGATCCATTCCTATAACGTTGCTTCATAAAGTGTAACAAGTTTATATGTTCTTATGTGTTGGATTGAAATCAAATCCCCAATGGCAGTTGGTAGCACAAGTTACACTTGTATGTAAACAAAGAATCACAATCTATTTTCCTGCTAAAAAAATTATAAAAGATTTTTCCTGTTAGTAAAACTGTATTGGACTGGCCAGAATAAACTAAAGTATAGATTTGGTCTTAAATTAAGGAGATAGGTATAGCAGCCTTAAGAACTACTATGTTAGTTTGATAAATCTTCCCATCAGTATCTATTTGATGATATCTTAGATGTGTCCTTTTGCAAAAATGATTCTGTGAGGGTTCAACAGAGTTGATACCTCTCTATTTCATAACTGGTTGCCATGGTCTGTTTCAAGTGGGGAAGTTGTTTGTATTATTTATCAGTATCATTAAGACAAAGTAATGTTATGTAGTTCCCAGAATTCTGTCTCTGTTCTTACTTCGGGTTCAATTTTTTTTATGTACTTTTGTTTGATTTCAGCGGTTCTCACGGCTACCAAAGTCCACGTTGCGTCTTCTTGAAACAGCAATCCCGGTATCGAAATGATCCTAATCTTAATTTGGCACTATATCCATACAAATAATTGATCTGCTCACATTTATTTGATTGAACTGGTCTTTGTTTCAGGGAGTAACTGATCCTATGCTTTACATAGGAATGCTATTTAGTATGTTTGCCTGGCATGTAGAAGATCATTATTTGTATAGGTAAACGTTATCAAACATTAAATTCCTTTTCCGTTTTTTCTTTTCTAGTATTCTATAAATAATCCTTTTCTTATAAACTTTTTGGCAGCATTAACTATCATCACTGTGGGGCTTCAAAAACTTGGTACGGCGTACCTGGTCATGCTGCTTTAAAATTTGAGAAGGTTGTCAAAGAATATGTGTACACTAATGATATCCTATCTGTGGATGGCGAAGATGGAGCTTTTGATGCACTTTTGGGGAAAACAACGCTATTTCCTCCAAGTATTTTGTTGAAACATGATGTCCCTGTCTACAAGGCTGTGCAGAAGCCTGGAGAGTTCGTAATTACTTTTCCAAGGGCATATCATGCTGGATTCAGTCATGGTAAGTCATATTTACTTATTTTCTTGTTCAGAGTTAATGAATGTGTTTCTAACTAATAATCATTTAGGTTTCAACTGTGGTGAGGCTGTAAACTTTGCTATTGGTAATTGGTTTCCTTTGGGGGCTGTAGCTAGTTTGCGTTATGCACATCTCAGCAGGGTTCCTCTCCTTCCTCATGAGGAACTTCTCTGCAAAGAAGCTATGCTTCTCTATACAGGTTCAGAACTGGAAGATTTGGATTATTCACCGGCAGAATTGGCCTCTCATCATTGCATCAAGATTTCATTCGTAAAGCTGATGCGTTTCCTGCACCGGGCACGTTGGTCTGTCATGAAATCAAGGGCATGCGCCAGTATATCGCCAAATTATTATGGAACAATCGTCTGCACTTTATGCAAACGTGATTGTTATGTTGCTTTCATTAACTGCAGCTGTTACGCTCATCCTGTTTGCCTGCGACATGGTAGTGTATCCCGGATCCTGCTTTGTTTTGGTAGTTTCCCTTCGATGGATAATTTTGTCTTCTTATGAGCCTGTTTTTCTTCCGCAGATATCGAGTCACTAGACTTCCTCTGTGGGAGCTATTATGGTCTTTTCTTGAGGGATGATGTTGGAGAGATGGAAGCTGCTGCCAAGAAGTTTGAGCAAGATGATGCCATATCAAAAGAAATTGAGCAACAACCTGAAAATGGTGATGACTTGTATTTTTATCCAATGTCAACTAAGTTACAGACTGATGTAGAGGATTTATACTTCCCATACTGTGAGATTAATGTTGCATTGAGTCCTGCGATTGCTGCAATAAATACAAAGGGTGAACCACTAGGACATATATCTTCTATGAACCACGACTCCGGAGAAATTCGAACTGAGCTGACTGATGCTTTCTCTTCTTTTGCCACATCAACTCCTTGTACCATTTTGGAGCAAATTGGATCCTTACCAAAAAATGTAAGATCCATCTCTCTTCCTGCTGAGTCTCTTAGTCTGACACATGAATTATATGTTGGTCTCTGCTTGAGCTCCTGCTCCTGCATTAAGTGACAATAGGTATATGTTCAAAGCAGGTACAAAGGGTAGCTAACCAAGTAAGCGCTATTGGTAAAAGATTCCCAGAAAAATTCTCAGAAAATACACATGAATCGTCTGCTTCTTGTTTGTCTTGTGAAGATCGTCCAAGTATCCTTCTGGATAATGTTCATAAACCAGTTAATAGGTGTATAATGGACGAAGACAGTGATAGTTCTGATTCACCGATATTTAGGGTTAAACGGCCTTCCTTTTTGAAGTTTGAGAAAAGATTTTTGAATGACTCCATGTCATCAAAGAACTCAGAACAACAGGTATGAACCTTATTTTAGCTTTGACTTTTGACTTATCATTGGGCCCATGGACAATCTAGGTGCGATTTTAAGATGTTAGGGAAGTCAAGGGGTAATGCCATCCCTTTCATAGAAGAGATTTCACTTGCATTTTAAAGAACCTTTTGCTCCCTTGCTAAAAGGTGCACAAACTGATTCGTGCCACTGATAAACTGCTTATGTTCAATTCAAACCGCTGATAAGCTGCTTAATTTCTGACAAACCACCAACTGCTTGACAATAGTTTCAGGAATGGGAGAGTTGGACTTATATTGGATTTTGACAATGATTATCATTACTTCTATCTTTTTTGTTTTAGAGATAAATTGAAAGAGCAATTAAGCAAATTTCACATCATGTTGCTGTGCCTAAATTTCCCCTTTTTGTTGAATGGAAGACTGTATTCTTTACTTTTCCATTGGCCAGTTATCATTACGGGCGGTTGTTGTTCGTCAGTTGGCCCCTAGTATAGGTTTACTTTGCAATAAGCATAAACAAGCTTCTGATTGAGCATTAAATTAGTTACAGCCGTTGGTTATGTTTCCACATTTTTATATTGATCGTCTTCAATTTGATTATCGTGTTGTATTTTGCTTAGTCTGTTCATGGCGTCCTTCTCCACTTGCAATTTTTCATGGGATCCTGACTCCATCTATTCATATGGCAGGGGCTCAAACGATTAAAGAAGCTCCAACATGAAGGAAGATGTGAGCAGGCAGTGCCGTCTGAATCCGAATGCTGTAGAAATGACAAACCAAATCGCAATATGAATCACACTTCTAATTGTAAAGAAGCTCTAAATATTGATGTGAAAGACAGATTTGGAAGAGACACCCTTCCCATTCCTATTTCTATCAGGTATAAGAAGCTGGATGGTGAGGCAGAAATGAGCAGGCAGCAAGAGCACTACCGAAACGATGGGGTGCGGCAGGAGATAGGAAAAAGCAAGAGGGAACCTCCTTCAGAGATTGGTCCAAAGCGCCTTAAAGTGAGAGGCCCAGTTTATCTAGGTTCAGAAAGCAGACTGGTTTGAAGTTATAGATGTGCAGAAACCGACGGTTTGGGACCCTGTAACTCCCATTCCCTCTAAATGGAGTTCTAACAACACTGAAATTCCAGATTGATCAATTCAGCCCAGGGAGCAGCAGCGGAAGATTAACCAAGCTTAGGACATTAATATTTTTATTCTTAGTGCAGGCCTCCAAAACTGGGGCGAATTGAACGTCGTTGTAGCGATTCTTGCGTCTCTAACTCACGCAGGAGGTGTTTTCCGAGTATGGCAGGAGAACCAACCTTACGAAAATGTAGAATTTGGGTTAGTGAAATTTACTTTTTGTAAATTTATTCTTTTTAGACTTGTGCTGCTTCCTCTGCCAGCTTCTTTATTCTTTTCATGTAGCAAATGTTGTACACTGTTTAAATAAAATGCAGAGTAATGATTCCACTGACATTTTTCTTTCCGGCGAAGTCTTTTGTACCCAACCCAAAGGCAAAGAGTCTCATCATTGTTTACCTTGTGGAATCTGTACACATAATTTCATTTTCATTTCCAAGACCCCATTGTCTGAGAGTCAACAACGACGGAACATTACAAGAAATCACCTTTACATTTTTCTCTATTTTGTTTGTTTCTTGTATCATAGATGATACTGGACAGCAACCTTTAACCACAATGGGCCCTGCTGGCTACAATTTTGATATGAAAAAAAAAACTAATAATAACGTAGTCTCTTTGGGATCTCAAAACAGGTTAAAAAGACACTGCTTTAAATTTTTTCCATGGCTATTTAGTTGATCGTATTTATTGTCTAATAAATATGTCGTTAAAAAGTTGAATTTTCCTATGGATCAACTCATACCAATATCGTTATATCAACTAAATCTAAAAAAATCAAAATAAAGTTTATATATATCGTTTTTGTGTAAGCTCGCGTCCATCATCTTAAAATTTTAGGGATGCTCTAACACAAGTTTAATTTTATTGGAAATATATTGAAAGAATGATGGTAGAATCAAATGGCAATTTGTAATATCTCGAATTCCAGGATAGAAGTTTTGGTCAACCTGAAACCTGTCAGTAGAGCCCATTAGATTTTCCAAACCAATTTTAAAACAATTCTTGAGAGTATTGGGCTTAAGGTAGGCCCCAGAGTTCAATTAAGTGACAGTTTTAATTGAAGGTAAAAAGGAGAAAGACCAAGTTAGCAATTTAACCATAATTATTTCAAGGGCTATAAACCCCTTCTTCTCCAGAGAATTCCACGAAAACAATCACCATAACAATATCTCCTATTCTCTTGTTCCTTTCCTCTCCCACGGTTAAAAAAAGAGGTGAGAGCCCTTGAGATTTCAAGCCTAGATTGAAGAAACCAAGGTAAGAAACCTATTCTTCATCTCCTTAGCTTCCATTAGAGCCTTTAATCTTAATATTTGGTTTAGATTTTCAAAAATGAGTTTTTATGGGTTTTAAGAAATTAAGTGATTCAAGCAATTTTATGAAAGGATTTGAGTTATAGGGAATGTATTTAAGTTTTATTCAGCCTCTACTTGAGTAAATAACTCATTTTTCATATATTGATAGTTAAAGAGGTGGAAGAGAGTTCAAAGGCTAAGGGTAAAAGAAAGGTGGATTCCTAATTGTTTGAGAGATATTCTAGCATCCAAAGAATCCATGTAACACACTCATAACTTTCCCATACCAATTATAGGATCATTAGAAAGCAGTTTAGCTTGAAAGTTGAGTATAAGCATGTTTATTAGATTTCTATGGTATATTCATGGTTCTATATTTTTAGTATGTATTAAAGCCTTATGCTTCCTTAATATCACATAAGACTTTAAGAATGTTTGGGGATCTCACTAGGGTCTTTGGGATTGAAAAATAGAGTTTCTCGTGCTTGTTTTATGACTTATGTAGGTATAGTATCGATACTATAGGGTTAGTATCGATACTTGTTCTTCGTTTCTAGGTAAAATCGTGTTTTCCGGGCAAAAGAATTGAAACTCTTACAAGAGTATCAAAACTTTGGGTCATAGTTCCGAAACTCTCAGAAAGTATCGAAACTAGGCAAAACAAAATGTTTAAAAGAGTCGGTACTTATATAAAGTATCCAAACCTTTGCAGGAGTATCGATACTTTTGGCTAGTATCTATACTTTCAGTCTGTTTTGGGTCAAAAAGTCCATTTTGGAGAGATTTAAACTTGAGGTACCCCAACACGTCTTTATATCACCAAATAAGACTACAAGTGAGAAAATAACTGATGTTTAATTCAAATTTAGAGACTAAATAATTAGGGACAAATAAGACTAGCCTTGTTTAATGCTTTAGAAATGATTCAGACACCCGAATTCCTTTATAAGCTAGTGGAGTTGAAAGTATAGATGCAATCAGATATATATTTAGGGAAGATGCGAGGCCCTTAAAACCGACTAACTAAGGTTGATGCCTAACACTTACAAGGGGTGGGTTAGTCAGGGATATGGTGTTTGATGAGAATTATGGGGGCCATATCCCAATAGACTAGAGGGGTGTGTAAGCTCCGAGATGCAGTAATCCCTAAGTCGCACCACGATGTCTACAATAGCATAGAGAGTGAATATCTCAAGGATATTCACTAAGCAAATCAAATCAGTAGACTTGATAGCCAACCTTTCAGTTGTATGCAATTAGTATGTTTTAGCTATTAGTGTATCACTGAGCTAGTTAACTCATCCTTCAGATTGTTTTCGTGGGCAAGTTAGTAGAGCCAGTAGGAGAGGAGTAATAGATAGACCAAAACCCAGACCAGTTCAAATTCAGAGTACGTCTCATCATTTTTGAAGGGGCATGTATATTTGTAAACTTTATTGTCCAGTTGAGTCTAGTTTCAGTAGATCGGTATGTATTATTTTTGTAAAGTGTACATATTTTAATTTGGAGCTTCTCAGTGTAAAGATTTTGTTTATTCTTCAGTTTATTTTATAATTGTTTTATATTTAAAGAAAGTAAGAAAAAGTTGGTTAGCCACTTTGGTGGTTCTGTGTAGCACATTAAATCGGTTGTCTGTGAGTCGTACTGGTCTAGGGTGTTACATTTAGTGGTATCAGATCGTCAGGATTGACATTTATAGGACCCGTGGGTCAGTGGTGGTCAGCGATAGTCGATGTCAGTCAATGTCGATCAGTGTCAGTAAAGAGTTTATAAGTATACATACCCTTAAAGAGTTATGTTGTACTTCTGTAGCAGAGAGGGTATATATGAGAGTAAAGCTTCCCTATCATAAGATTCAGGAGATGAATTCATTTCAGACTCCAAGCATGGAGAGCCTAGAGACGCAGGAGTTGATGAGGCTGCATTCTTTAGGAATCTAACCTCTACCTTAGAGCGGATTGTTAGAGCTATTCCTCAGCCACCTACTACTCCATCTGTCCAACCAGTCCAACTTGTTCCTCCAGTTGTAGCACATCAGGAAACCACATTAGAGAGGCTCTAGATGTATGAGACCACTGAATTCTTTAGGTCTGGGGACGCTGATCCAATCGTAGCCGACCAATGGTTAAAGAAAACCCTTAGAACCCTTCGTCACCTGCATCTTATTCTCGAGGCAATGTTGGAGCCCAAGCAACCCACATGGGATCGATTTTTAGAGGAGTTTCACCAGAAGTATATAGAGGAAGCCTACATGGATGTAATGAGGGATCGGTTTGCTCAGTTGACTCAAGGGGATATATCAGTATTTGAGTACGAGGTGGAGTTCCTCATGCTAAGTAGATATGCCCCATAATTGGTTTCGTCTAAGTATCATCATTGTCGAAAGTTCAGAGAAGGTCTTCGTCTGGATATCTTGACTCACTTAGCTGCCAATCCACCACGAGTCTTTACCTAGCTAGTTCGTCAGGCAAAGGCAGTAGAATGAGTTCTGACCATGAGAGTAGCAGAAGAAGATACCACCTCAGGTCAAGGTAGAGAAGTGGCAGAGTCAATGGAACCAGTCCAGCTATCCAAGAGGCCGAGAGAATCTCAAGAGCCCAAGAGAGTCTTGGTAGGTCAGTCTAGTCGACCAACGCAGAGTGCTAGCAGAGGAGAGATTATGACCAATCAGCACATGAGACCATTGTTTACTGCACTAGTAGGAAGTGTTGAATGATCATCAAGAGTGCATTCTCATCCTATCTGTTCTCGCTGTGGTAGAAGACACCTATGAGTTTATAGGTTTGGGGCTCAAGATTGTTACCACTATGGGTCTTTAGATAATTTTCTCAGAGATTACCCAGAGGCTCAGAGTGTAGTTCCAACTTCGTCAGCTCCAATAGTTCAGAGGGGTAGAGGATTTTAGAGAGGAGGTAATTCACCTGGTCAGGCTGGTAGATATGCAGTTCAGTTCGAAGCTGGTGGAGAACCGAGAGTAATAACCCATCAGTTTGTGATTAGAGCTCAGGAGGAGGAAGAGGTAGATGAGAAAGCAACTGATGAGATCTTAGGTAACCTTACCCTATTTCATATTTCAGTAACAACCATAGTTGACTTAGTGACCAACCCTTAGAATTAAATGTTCTAGTAGTTGAGATTAGTAGTAGATGTCTGTCGGAATTTTGGGGATGAAATTTCCTATTAGGAGGGGAGAGCTGTAATACCCCAAATCCCGAGATAGAAGTTTCGGTCAACCTGAAACTCATCAGTAGAGCACATTAAGTTTTCCTATACAATTTTAGACCAATTATTAAGAGTATTATGCTTAATGTAGGCCCATGAGTTCAATTAAGTGGTAGTTTTAATTTGAGGTAAAAAGGGGAAAGACCAAGTTAAAATTTTACCCATAGTTGTTTCAAGGGTTATAAACCCATTCTTCTCCAGAAAATTCCATGAAAATAATTAGCCTAAAAATATCTCATATTCTCTTCTTCCTTTCCTCTCCCACGGTTAAACAAAGAGGTGAGAGCCCTTAAGATGTCAAGCCTAAATTGAAGAAACCAAGGTAAGAAACCTATTCTTCATCTCCTAATCTTCCATTAAAGCCTTTAATCTTAAGATTTGGTTTAGATTTTAAAAAATGGGTTTTTATGGGTTTTAAGAAACTAAGTGATTCTGACCATTTTAAGAAAGGATTTGAGTTATAGGGAATGTTTTTTAAGTTTTATTCATCCTCTAGTTGAGTAAATAACTCATTTTTCATACCTTGATAGTTAAAGAGGTTGAAGAGAGTTCAAAGGCTAAGGGTAAAAGAAAAGTGGATTACTAGTTGTTTGAGAGAGATTCTAGCACCAAAGAATCCAGGTAACATACTCATAGCTTTCCTATACCAATTGTAGTATCATTAGAAAG